GGGGCGCAGGGCACGCGGGGCGGGGCCGGGCCCGCGAACCCCTGTGTGTGCTCCCCTCGCAGCCCAAGATGACAGAGTATGACAAGCGGTGCTGCTGCCTGCGCGAAATCCAGCAGACAGAAGACAAATACACCGACACGCTGGGCTCCATCCAGCAGGTGCGCCCTTTGCGTGTGTGTGCTTGGAGACAGGGTCTCACTATGTGGCGCAAGCTGGCCTTGAACTTGCAATCCTCCTGCCTCAGCCTCCCAAGTAGCTGGGCTCACAGGTGTGCGCCACCAAGTCTGACTTTCTCTAAATCCTTTTAAAACTAGCTTTGTGGAGATTTAACGAAAATACGTATCATTCACCCACTTCAAGCATACAATTCAGGGGTTCTTTTGTATTTACAGTGCTGGGTCCCCGTGAGCACTAATTTCAGAACACTTTCATTTCCTTAGAATAAATCCCACACCCCTTAGCTGATATACCTCAATCTCCCATCCCCTCCCCCCGCCCTGGCTCCCACAAATCCAAGTGCTATCTCTGGATCCCATGCTGTCAGGGTGTTCCAGCGCCATTCCTTTTCATGGCTGAATAATATTCCAGTGCATGGATGGACCAGCTTTTGCTTGCCCACACATTTACTGATGGACATTTGAGTTGTTTCTGCTTCGGCGCTGCGATGAATAATTCTGCTTCGAACATCTGGAGACACGTTTTTGTGTGTGGATGTTCTCCATCTTTTTTCCTCTGCTTCTCGGTCGGTCTGTCTGCCTCTGCGCCCCTCTCCTTGTCCTATTCTCTCAGGGGCTGATCCTGGGGAGGGGCTCACTTCCCTCACCCCCTTCTCTCCCCTCTGCATAGCACTTTATGAAGCCCCTACAACGGTTTCTGAAGCCCCAAGACATGGAGATCATCTTCATCAACATCGAGGTGGGCCAGCCGTCCCGGTCCTCTCGGGCCTCTGTCGGGGAGGGCTCTGCCGCGGGTGCAGGGGATGGGAACTCTGCACCGCAGGCTGCACCTCCCCCGCCCGGTCCCCTGAGCTGCCCCCACCTCCGATTAGGACCTGCTCCGCGTTCACACCCACTTCCTGAAGGAAATGAAGGAGGCGCTGGCAACCACGGGGGCATCCACGCTGTACCAGGTCTTCATTAAATACAAGGAGAGGTGAGACCCAGCCGGCTCGACCAAGCCCTGAGCCCGCTGCCGTCCCCGTGCTGGGCCTTTGGGAGAGGTCACCCTCAGCGATCGCGGTGGGGGGAGGCCTGCTGTGAGCTCGTGGTCAGGGGCTGTAATTCCCACCTGTGCTGTGTGGCCCAGCGAAGGTGGTCGACCTCTCTGTGCGTCTGCTTCCTTGTCTGTGAAACAGTGTTTGTGCGGTTGCGTTAAGAGTTGAATCAGTTGTTGCATAAAGTGCTTAACACAGGGCCTGGCACACAGTAGGCACTCAATAGGTGCTTGTTACTAAATGAACAATGGGCAGGGACTATATGTCAAGTTCTCTTTTTTTTTGGTACCAGGAATCGAACTCATGACCTTGCCCTTGTCAGGCAGGCGCTGTGCCACTGAGCTATATCCCCAGCCCCCTCAAGTTCTCTTTTAAGAGCCCCTTTTGAGATGCAATCAAAAAACATGATGCGTGTTTAAATAAAAAAAATTAGCCAGGCGTGGTGCGCCTGTAATTCTACATGCAGGAGGCTGAGGCAGGAGGATCACCATAAGTTTGAGGCCAGCCTGGGCTATATAGTGGGTTCAAGACCAGCCTGAACTATATAGTGAGGTCCTGTCTCAAAAAGACCAAAACTTTTATTACAGCAAAATACACATTATCATTAATCTCCCTCTAAATCTTCCCCCTCACCTAAAACACATTTATCCCATCATTCCTGCCACTTTCTGAAGCAGTTCTGGAAGTCCTCTCTCTTTTTTTTTTTTTTTTGTCTTTTTGAGACAGGGTCTCGCTGTGCAGTTCAGGCTGGCCTTGAGCTCATTTTGTAGCCCAGGTTGGTCTCAAACTCACAATGATCCTCCTGCCTCAGCCTCCCAAGTGCTGGGATTACAGGCGTGTGCCACCACACCCAGCAAGGAAGTCCTCTCTTGTGTCTTTAGAAGCACTGTCCTGGCTGCATTAATGTCCTGAATGGATCCAAAATGACCTCCCATGGCCATTTTGACTTGGGGAGGAGCCGGAAGTCTCATGGTGCGGGATCTGGTGAATAAGGCAGACGAGGACACGCTGTGATGTGTTTATGAGCTGCCTTTCTTTTGGATGGCGTTTGGTAGCAGTACTCATCATATTTTTGAGACACTTAGGAAACAGGGCTCCCAGAACTGCTGCAGAAAGTGGAGAGAATGCTAGAATAAACGTGTGCAAAGTGAGGGAGAAGATTCTGAGGGGATGCGTGGCGATGGGTCTTCGACTGTCATACATTTAAAGAATTTAAACATCCACCACGTGTTTCAATCACCCCTTGTATGTATTACCTCAATGAATGTCATCAGGAGCCTGTGTGGAAGTGCTGTCATTAGGCCCATTTTACAGATCGGGAGAATGAGGCTCGGGGTCCTCTATCTCGGGTAAGCAAGGCCAGGACTAAGGCTGAGGCCTGCCTGACCTCAGGGCCAGCCACGTCACCTGGTGGGCTGTTCTCTTCTCGCAGATTCCTCATCTACGGCCGCTACTGCAGCCAGGTGGAGGCAGCCAGCAAACACCTGGACCAGGTGGCCACTGCCCGCGAGGATGTCCAGATGAAGCTGGAGGTGGGGGCCTGGCTGCCCTTTGTGGGGCGTCCCTCTCAATCCCAGGTCCCGGGGGCTGCGGGGAGCAGACGGACTTGGATGGAGGAGGCTCTGGTTTCCTCTGCGGCCGAGCTGCGGATCTGCCGAGGCTCAGTGGGGAGGGGAGCGTGCAAGTGTGAAGTCCTAGCCCGGAACCAAACCTGCCCCAACCTGAATCCCAGCCCCGGGCCGTGCCCGAACACAGCTGCACCCACCCCTGGGCTGAGCTCCACCTTCACCCCGAGCCCCTGGTCCTAGCCAAGCCCTGATCCCAGGCTGAGCCCTGACTGCGCGCTGAACCCCAGCTTGGATCCCAGTGTGTACCGGAAACATTGATCGGGTAGGGACAGTGAGGGCACGGACCCGCAGACCTGTCTTTCTGTCCCTCTGCGGCCCCATGCCCGGGCAGCAGGCTGGGACTCCACCTCCCGCAGCGCCGGCTGGCCCGTCCGTGGGTCGCCACCCGCCTCTCGCCCTGGAATTCTTCCCTCATTTATTTTTCTCGGGAGACGTGATGCTTCAGGTAGGACAAACGCACACAGCCAGCTCTGCGGTGGACAGCGAGGGTGGCCGCTGTGTGTTTATTCAGCTGTCTCCACCTGTCCTCTGCTCTGCGCCCCCATGGTGACCCTCTGCCCTCTGATCCCCAGGAGTGTTCTCAGCGAGCCAACAACGGCAGGTTCACCTTGCGGGATCTGCTGATGGTCCCCATGCAGAGAGTGCTCAAATATCACCTTCTCCTCCAGGTGCACGGGCAAGTGGGGCCCCCCGTCTGGGTCTTCAGGGGCAGGGCTGGGCTGGCTTTGGAGGGTTGGGCTCCAAGACCCTTGGGGTGGGTCTTTAGGGTCAGGTCCCGGCCTCCAGAGAGGGTAGGGTGAGAAGGGTGTGTTTGGAGGAGCAGGGTGGCCCAGGGCAGGGGTGTCTGACTTCCGGACCACGCAGGAGCTGGTGAAGCACACGCAGGACGCGATGGAGAAGGAGAACCTGCGGCTGGCCCTTGACGCCATGAGGGTGAGTGAGGGGTCACACGCCTGCCGCGGCCTCGTCTTCGGGCCTCCCAGGCCAGGTAGAGGGCTGGTCAGGGGTGTGTGTAGGTGGGCCAGGCTCACCCCTGCCCTATCCCCAGGACCTGGCGCAGTGTGTGAACGAGGTCAAGAGGGACAACGAGACACTGCGGCAGATCACCAACTTCCAGCTCTCCATTGAGAACCTGGTGAGGGCTGGAGGGTGGGCAGGGCTGTGGTCGCGCAGGGAGGATGTCTGGTCTCCTTCTGGGTGGTCCCTTACCAGATCCCTCCCTGCCTGCTGCCTAGGACCGATCGCTGGCCAACTACGGCCGGCCCAAGATTGACGGGGAGCTCAAGATCACCTCGGTAGAAAGGCGGTCCAAGATGGACAGGTGGGCGGGTCCACTCCGATGGGGTGGAGCCTGGGAGGGGTTGGGGCCAGAACAAGGCATACTTGTGCGCTTGGAGCCAACGTTGGTCTCAGGTGGATTCTGGGCAGCGCCAGGCTCCTAGATAGATCTGTGGGCGGAGTCACTGTGGATTTGGGTGGGGATGGAGGCGGGACCTGATTTCCAGTAGGAAAAGTAGCGGGGATCGCCTGAACCAGGGAGTGGAACCCAGACCTGGGGGTGGCCAGGCCAATACGGGTCATGGGGGGCGAAAACAGCACCAACAGGTGGGCACTGCCAAGGCGTTCAAAGAGGAAGTGAAGCGGGGCACCCGGATAGGCAGGAGGTGGGGCCCGGAGCCGACGAGGCCTGACCCGGATTCCAGGTACGCTTTCCTGCTGGACAAGGCGCTGCTCATCTGTAAGCGCCGGGGCGACTCCTACGACCTCAAGGACTTTGTGAACCTGCACAACTTCCAGGTTCGCGATGACTCCTCCGGAGAGCGAGAAAACAAGAAGGTGGGTCCCGGAGCCAGGCCAGGGTCCCGGGGCCCGGGGGCAGTCGGCGCTCTCGGTCTGCGCTCCGGAGTGTCTGCACGTGCGCCGGCGAGAGCGCACGAAGCAGCGCGGTCGCGCATTCACTCGCGGGCTTCTGGCGCTCCGCCTGCTGTGTCCTGCTCATTCTTTTAGGCGATAGGGCTAAAAAGGCCTACGGCACTTACTTTCTTGCAGGAAACAAGAAAAAGACAGAAAATAACACTGGAGCCTCCGTAGCGGTGGTGGGGGTAGGGGGTGGAGGGGGTCTTCTCATCCCCACCGGTCTTTTGTCCCCTGTGGCTGATGTCTGAGCCACGACTCCTCTCCTGGGCTGCTCTCTTTCTCTTGTACACCTTCCACACCCTTTATATCCCGTTCTCCTGAAAGTTCTCCC